GAGAAGAAATCACACTAGAAACAGCAGAGAAGACCCCTCCTCCTGCTTTGTATCTCCAGCACTCTCTACTGATGATGCTTAACTTGATGCCAGTTGGCAAAGGATAAATATTGACAAAAATCCAGCTCTACTATTACAACATAGGTGATAAGGGTGGATTTGGAACCAGGAGGCAACAAACAAATTGACTGACAACTAGCACACCTGATTGGCAAAATATAAAGATGCGGAATACTGTGAAAACTGCCACAGGTGGTACCCCAACCTGGTGTTAGAAGGTGCTACAAATTTCACATGTATTGTTTACAGTTAATCTCACAGGAATACCATAAGGTAATTTCTCCTTGCATCCCACTTAAATACCAACAATACAGAAAAATGTAGAAATTATTATCAATACTAAAAACCAAGATTTGACAACCAAAATCTGTAGCGATTTTCTTTTGATTGAAAAATGTAGTGGAGTTAAATTGAGAAACATCACTGAAAACCAAAGTTTGTGCTTTTTGTTTTCTCAAAAAGAGAGAATAAGTTACGAAGCCATACTAAAGGAAAAAACAGGCCATTCTTTCTTCATTCCCTGGCTCCCATAAAGAACAGAAAAACGGGTCCTATTTTTCAGGGGTTACAGATCTGTTATCCAGCCATTATTCCCATCAGTACCACCTTTTCTTTACTCACTTCAAGACTTCAGGTTAGGAAATATAAAGGTCTTAATGAGGTAGAGTGGAGTGTGGAACCACTGGCAAAAGCCATTGTATCTTGGGAGATAAACGTCCCAAAGGTAAAAACGCTACTGAGTCCTAAAGAATCCTAGAGACTTGAGGATCATGGAATAAACTTTTGGAATAAAATCTTGGAGTAGTTGGACATGGCAACATTGGACTGTCTTTGTAAACAGTATGGTGAAGCTATGTGCCCTGGGCTCATTGGCGACAAAGACAGAGAAAAGTTAAAAATAAAAGAAAGGCAAATATTTATCAAACAAATATAAATAAAAGGGAGGCAGGGATAGAAATTTTAATTCCAGGAAGAGTACAAAGCCACAGCATTTAAAGGGGTAAAAGGGCTGGCAAGATGTAAGATCCTAATAATGATAAAAGACCCACAAAAATTATATACTTAGTTATCTAACATCAAATTCTATAAATCAAAAACTGTAATACAAGGAAAAAATGAAAGCAGTGCCATTGTATAGAAGGTTGACACCACATTCTCAACCAGGTAGATCGGGAAATCTATGCAGATTGAAGGAAAAGTGTAAATACTGTAAATAAATGAGTAGTCAAAAGTTTCAATTATTGTCATCAAGCCATGTCCTGGAAAAGGAGACAATATTCTTTATCTTTTGAAGATTCAGCACTCAGAGATCTTATGGATATATTATCAGGCAGGTCACAGAAGTTACAATCATTTTTTTTTCTATTGTATCCATGTGATTGGAAGAACAAAATTTGACAGGAGTAACTACATGCCCATCAGCAATTCTTGCCTACTGGTAAACTCTTCTATCTTGACCTTGTAAATTTCCAAAGCAGAAAGAGTTCTGTTTGCCTGCAAACTAACTCACTCACTTAGGTATGTTAACATGTTTGTGTCTGGATTATATTTTAGACACCCTGCAAATCCCACTACATTAATAAAATAGATGGTTTCTACTTTCCAAAGCCATCAACACAATCCTGGGATGGTTGGAGTTTTTCCTGATCCTGATACTGTGGTGAGTTATGCAGAACCTATCCCTAAAGTGGCTAGAGCTGGAAACAACTGGAGGGTTAAGAATGAATTGGGCTCTCCTTGAGTGCTGGTGGCCAAAATCAGGAAAGCTCAACTTGGTTTTCAAGACTAAGGGGTTCATGATCAGTAGAATAAACCCAAAGGGTCATAAACTGGGTAGCCATCATAACAGAATGGGAAACATGACTAAGAGACAGAACAAAGTCAAAGGAGCCAGGGAATGAAGAAAGAATAATCTGTTTCTTTCTTTGATTTCCAATTATGTATGCTTTGATTTCCAATCATGTTTCTCAATTTAACCCCACAACATTTGTAATAATGAGGAAATCCTCACATATTCTGGCCACTAGGCTTGCTTTTAGATATTGGTAAGAGTTTTTGTATTTTTCTGTATTTGTTAGTAGTTAAGTGGGAAGCAAGGAGAAATTACTTTGTCTAAGACAAAGATCATGAACATCATTGGAGAGGCAGACTTAGGTTTCCTGGCTTTCATCTGAGATTCTGTGGGCCAATCAGGCTGGGTCTAAAGTGCAGTATTGCAGGAGGGATGGGCCACTGATCATTAATGGTTAAATACAAAATGGATAACACATCTTCTTCTGCCAGGCATCTGTCAGCTCTTCCCTGCCCATGTAAGTATCAGTGGAATTCAGGTCATAAGGGATAAGAAGGAGGTAGCCATGAATCCCTCTCACTATGTCCAGAATTTGAGGGAGGGTTTTATATTATGGTTTATCTACATATAACAACTGTGTTTGACATGGGTTGCAAAAACACTTTGACTCTTTGAGAGTATATAAGAATTTAGGTTTCAGATATATTCACAATTAAAGTATATGGGATATACTAGGTTCCCTGTGTATCAAAATTTACTACATTCCACTGATTTGCTGGCTGACAAAGGAAAGTCGATTTGCCTGGCTCCTGTCAGTCACATGTGGTTTGGAAATGCTTATGCATTCCAGATGCACAGTGTAAACTGGAGAATCATATCCTATTTCTCCTGGTTTGCATGCATGCATATAAAGCTTGTTTTCCCCACAGTCCCACATGAGAAGAAGTGAAGAACTAGCAGCAGTAATTACAATTAATCAACTTCTTTGTTGAAACTTCACAGCTATGGTTGTGAGGGGAATTCTTGTTCCTCGTGTCTCAGAAGGCTGTAAGTTCTACTTTTTTGGTTCTCTTATTCAGTTCTGTTCCATGGAGCATTTAGAGATAAAGCTGGCAACTGTCATCCGAAATAGTTTCTCACACCTACTATGTGCTAGGGCCTCTGTAGGTATTCAGAGATACTGAGCAGAATTATCCATTACAGGAAGCTCAGAGTTTAATGAGAAAGAACAACAAGTAAATCAATAGTTACCTCCCAATGTGACAGCTGCTTTTAGAGAGTTTGCGTTATGCAGTGTGCCCTATGGGAACAGGGAGGAAGTTTGCCAAAACTTCATAGAGGGTGAATCTTGATGATAGGATATGAGTCAAAGCAGAGAAGAACTGGAAGGCATTCAATAAAGTAGGAACATTATGTGCAAAGCTCACCAGGAACACACGTTTCAGGGACCTGAAAGAAATGCTGTATGGCTTAAGACCAGAGGTAGAGCCAGTAGAGAATATAATTTGAAAATATATGAGAGAGAGGCCATAATCCTAATAAATGTTATTTTAATAGTCCACATTCTTGTGTTAATATTTGGAGGCATTTGTTCACTAAGAAAGACTTTAAAGTTGCAGATGAACTAGTTAACCTTACAATATTCATTATCCCTTCTGTTTCTCCCTTTCTAGCACCTAATACAATGCCTGGTACATAGTTAATGCTCAGTTAACGTAAACTACTATTACTGGCCCCCAGAGATTCATGGCCTTATGTCAATCCTTCCTCTTGAGTATAGGCTGAACTTATTGACTCATTTCTAATGAACAGAATATCCCAGAAGTAATGGACTGTCACTCCCAATATTATGTTATAAAAAGACCGTGGCTTCCTTCTTGGACAGTCTGTCATGTATTCACTGTCTCTGGCTCTCTTTCTCTCTTGGATCACTGGCTGCCATGTCACAGGGACACTCATAGCTGTGGAGACGCCTGCTTGGCAAGGAATTGAGCCTTCTATATGAACATCCTCACTGCCAACACCTCTGAGTGAGCTTGATTGCAGATCTTCTGAGGCCTGATATTAGCCACAGGAGTGAGCTTGGAAGTGAATTCTACAGCTCTGCTTGAGTTTCAAGGTAACTACAGCCTTGGCCAACAGCCTACTACAACCTCATAAGAGATCTTAAACCAGAGATGCCCGGCTGAGCTGCATCCAGATTCCTCACCCACAGAAACAATGAGATAATGTTTACTGTGCTCAGCCATTAACTTTTGGTATAATTTGCTACACAGCAACAGCTAACTAACACACTATGCTTGTGCATCTACTGCCCATCCCTGTAAGGTCTGAGTATCTGGTGAGCCTTGAATGAGCTTTGTGGCATCAGAATTTCTTTTTGGTGATGGAGCACTTAGTAACAAGTAAGTGATCACCTAGTAACAAGTAAGTGATCTCACCTCCCTGGCTGAGGAATGAACCCTGTCACCTGCAGTCCCACTTAATGGATTAGACCATGCATAGAGTGATTTTGGCCCAAATGCAGAACAGATTGTTGTGCTTGGGGGGCTCCTTCCCCTAATCACGGGCACATCAACACTGTGAGTAAAATCCCTCCATTAGCTGCTGCTGAGATGCCAGTGAACCTCATAGCCACATCTGTCTAGAGGATGACAATCACAGGCATCCACAGAAAGATATATGTAGCTAATGTATTTCCTATTTCCACATATAATTCTAAATTATTATATGACACGCCCTAGCAAGTAATTGTTAGGCTTGCTATATACACTGTCCAGGTGGGAAGAAGTTGAAATATACACATTGCTTAGGGAACACTGAGTTTTTGGCAGAATTGGCAGTTTATATAACAATGTTGATTTGAAGTTGGTGGTTTTATATGTAAAAAAGATGTTAAGAACTTGTAAAGATGTTAAATATTTACATAAAAATTATGGTCAGCTAAGGGAAGAAGAACAAAATATAAAACCCAAGTGTGCCTTCTACAAATTATTCTTTGCTTGCTTCCTAAGTCTTTTTAGTAGTTCCCAAATTCGTTTTTCAGTTAGAGATTGAGCAAACACTCTATACATAACACTATGTCAATGTGAGCCATCCATCACAGCCACAAGGAAAGCAAACAAAAGAAACAAAGGGAACTTTGTACCTCTGTCCCTGATGATTCTGCCCCTCGTCCTCTGAGATGCAGTTACTGGGAGCCGAAAGACCAAAGTGGGAGAATGTCCTTAGAGCCACAGCTGAGATGCCGATCCGTGGGGATGAGAAATTCAGCAGCACTGAGGTGGTATGGGGGAAGACGACGTTCCAGTGGTGGATCACATTGATTATCAGTGGGTTATGCTGGCATGACAGTCCATAGGTTCCTGAAGATAAACAGAGATGAATCATATTTTAAGCCATTGTTAGTACATTTCCATATCTTATATTCATTTTATCCTCTTAATAGGTGTATGATGCCAAAATCTAGGTGAATGATGTAGACAAGATCTCAAACAACATCAAAGACAGACATCAAGCTGACTTCTGGGTCTACCAGGTTGTCCTCTAGTGGCCCTAAAGGGATATTTGTCAGACTCACCAAGAAGGTGGTTGCTTCCATGGACATCGGTCAGGTAGACAGTCACTGTTGGCTGCCGATGCTGTCCAGGGACTAGGCCATCAGTGGTCAAAAAAATTAAAATTGCTCTGGCCACTCCTGGTCTATTGAAACATACCTAGGCACAAGCACATTTACGTAGGAGTCATTATTTCCATTAAGTTATCAAGACATGTGCCATACCATTTTTATTCTTCTCAGAGAGCTCACCATTTATAAAGTAAGAGCTTCCTTCTTTTTTACAAATGGTAAAAATATGGAATAGACACAGAAAGATATTCAAGGTTGTATCAAACGTCAAGATCAAATGGAAGGAAGACAATTTTCAGATGCCGAACATCCTATATCTTTTTCTGAGACCGATGTCTCAACTGTTTTTTTTTTTTATTTGAACTTGTCTTTCTTTAAATTTCTCAAAACAATCACTTAAAGAAACCATTGCCAGAGACAATAACTTACTGCACAGCCAGTCAGTATCTCCTCATTGCCGAAATGAAAGCATTGGGGAAGACAATCATCAAACTAGCATCTCACTCTAAACTGTTCCAAGTCTGAACTGCCATGTCTGGCTATCCTTCCCCATCTTCCTATCTCTCCCCAAAATGTTTGCCAGACGTCTCACATAGCATGTGAACTCTGACATGGGAGAGATGCTGTTGCAGAGTCTGTTGCTTCTGAAATTAGAATCTGCCAAACCGTTTATTCTTATGCATCTTCCTGGTGCACCAAGCATGTATACCCAGTCCCTGGCCAGGAAAATGAGCCAAAAATGGGACACAGGAAAATTCACGTATCAATCAGGACTATCTCTAGATGGTTAGGGTGATTAAGACTAAAACAGACTTTCAGAGTAAACTATGGAAGTGCTGTCCTTGGAAATTCTTTGACAGAAACATCAACAATAACATCTTAGAGAGGTTGGAGGATGAAGAGCAGATTCTTGCCACTGCTGAGAGTCCAGTGTTCATCTTCCACACTGGACCTATTTGATACAGTAATTCTACTTTTATTTTATTTCCCATGACTCAATATTTTTCTTAATTTCCACGGAGAAAAAAACCCCAGCCTTCCCTGGTGTTATATGGGTGTTGCATTGTTTAGAATCTGGTACTGGACTTAAGTTCTGTGTGCATTTCTCTAGCTTTTTTAAAAATCAAGTTCTAAGGGTGATGAAGCTCCAGGAAAATTGTTCCCAGTGTAAAAGCAGGGTACAACATCTAATGACAAGGCCTTCCTCTAAAAGTGGGGGGAGAGAGTAAAACATGTTTTTCATTTTAACAAGAATTCTTTTTGTCCACAGACTGATTTTTCCTGAGCCTTGGCAGTGTGTTTAGAGTGTTCATTTGCACTGCTGGCTTAATTAGGATGATTTTATGATCTTCAGTGGTCAAAGCAGCACAGCTCTCCCTTCTCTCTCTGCTTCTTTGAGGGAAAGACCAGCCACACTCTCTCTTTTTACAGTGTCTTTTCCCCACTTTTTATTTCCCTTCTTTGAAGTCATAAATATTTCTTCATAACTTAAGAAACACCCAGACCCAAGGTTGCACTTGCAACATGAAGTCCTTTGTCCCTGTCTGGATGAGGGCTAGACATGAATCACATCCTAAGGTTACCAAGAGCCCAACTCAGTGCCCTCAACTCCAGCAGCAAATGACATCAAAGCCCCCTGGGAACTCACACAGCCTCTTCCTTTTCATACACCACAAAAGAGACCTGAGTAGTGGAAGAAAGTTCTGTGTCAATTTCTGAGCCAGAAACAGAGTCCAAACAAGTATCTGGTGGCTTTATCCCATTAGGCCGCAGGCATAAAGAGTGGGGTTGCTTCAACAAGGAACAGGAAGCTCAGTCTTCCTACGTTCTGTTGGATCCCCAGATAGATACTACCCACCTGAAACTACTTAATAAAGGTAGGTCTTATGGTGTGTGTTTCTCCTTTTTGAAGGCCCCTGCCTAAACCTCCAATCTATTTTTCATCTCCTAGCAATATGCCTCCTTGCTCCAAGGGTCTTTTAATATCAAATCACTTTGCCTGTTCCTGGTGGCGGCGTCTCTGTGCCATGATTTGTGGGAACAAGCTATGCCAGGATTTCTAGGCCATGGATCAAGTAGGAAAACCCCAGGTGAGACTTATGAAGGAGACACAGGCCGACAGGAATCTTGGGCTACACAAAGCAAACAGAGACAAGTGTTTGATCAAGTTATGGAATCCTGAGTCTTGGACATTTCCTTTCACAGTGACACAGGTAGCCAAGGTTCATTCATTTGGACCCCACGTATGTTCACAATGGCAACTAGAAGCACAAGAAAGTGTGAACTCTCATACAACCACTGGACCCTCAAAAGTAGAAACTAGTCTGAATCTGCATATATGTGTATAACAAGTTCAGGCAGAGGCAAAAGGAACCAAGTAAATTCACAGTTCTAGAGAGTGAGTGAGCCAGGCAGAAACCCTGGGTTTGATTCTTGGATTGAGCTTTACTTGCTGGTAAACCTGAGCAATCTGTCTTCTCTGAACCTAGGTTTTCTTTTTTCTACCACTAAGAAATAGAGATGTTGCTGACAGCTTGACTATGAATATTAAATGAAATCAGCTAAAAATACATAAAATGCTTACTATAATTTAGCAAGAATTCGATGTTCAATAATTTGTATTTCAAAAAAATTTTAGCCTATTTACAATGTAGGAAATAGGTGAAATAACAAAAATGTAAAATTAAACATACATTTGTATGTTTTAATGTAGAGGGAATTATGATTTTCTGAAATGCATAGCCTAAAATATTTCATATATGCTATTTTCAATTGAAACTTGTAGAAATGTGAACTGGTACTTTAAGATCTGCTTCCATGGAGATAATCAATATCGGAGGCTCTTGGTATAGAATGTATCTCTATTTTATAAATTGAATCTATGAAAAATAAAATATACTTTAAAAGTACATATATAATTTTTCTTACAGGCTTTTCAGAAATTTAGTTCAAAATACATTTATTAAAAATCTACTTTTGCTGTAGAGGCATAGAAACTTCTAGAATTGGCACTGTAATTAGAAATATGAAAGTGTATTTCCTTTTTAATATATTTTTTAAGTTGCTCTTTCCACAGCCAAGTAACAAATATGGATACCCATATATGTGACTTTAAATATAAATATGTTATATATATATTTATATATATTTTGTAAAATATATACATAAATATATAGACATATTTTAGCACATATAAAATATACAGAAATATATATTTTTAATTTACATACATATTTCTAACTTGACTGTGGAAAGAGCAACCTTAAAAATATATTTAAATAAGGAATACATATATACATATATGTATGTATATATATATAGATATATATATGTATATATATAGATATATATATAGAATATATTTTATGTAGGAACACAAGGAATTGTACAAAAAAAATACATCATATAGAGAGAGAGTCCAGACTATTTTTATTTTATCAGAGATAAATAATGAATTTTATGCTCCTAAACATGAAAGACAAGCAGAAGCATCAAGAAGACAGTTTGACAGTAGGAAGCTCTACTTTACACCTGTGTCACCTTTGCCTCTTCAAGTATGACACTCTTCTGATCACTCCAAATGCACGTTTATGGACAGCTGTTCTCTTCACAACAAAGCCCTCCTGAAAGACCTCTCAGGGACTACTCAGATCTGAGATGTGCACCACTGATGACCCAGAAGAAAAAATCAAAGGGCTAGAAAGTTGAAAGAATTATTAGCTACATCTAACACTTTATTATTTGTTTTAACAAAGAGTTTATATTCATGTTTTATGTGCACAATATAAAATTAATTTAAGCCTGTCTCTTACAAGGAAGAAAAATTCATGATAGAGGGATTGCTCAGTGAATTCATTACAAAATATTTGAAACAAAAAGACAATGTACAATATAGACAGATGATAGACAGATAGATAGATACATGGATGGATGGATGGATGGATGGATGGACTGACTGACTGACTGACTGATTCTGACAGATGGGGAAAACCAGTCCCACACACTCAGGTGATTTTTCATCTAAAGCCTGCCTGTTAGCTATACAATCTAACCATTGGCCACTGGGGAGGGGTAAGATTGAAAGAAAGTGCCTCTGATGCAGAACTGTTTGGTCTTAAGAAATCCCTCTTCAGTCTGCTTGCTGGGCACAGACACACTCACTATGCTCCCAAGCCAAGCATTTCAACTTCCAGGTCATCCTTTGTGGTACTCACTGGATAGCAGACCTTGAAACTATACCACAAACTTGAAAAGAATCTTCTGTGAGGTTTTAGAATGCTTTTGGTTAGTTACTGGTTTGCTTTTTCTGTGCCTTTTCATTTTCACTCATCTATGACACTTCCTGATTCCAGAGGGAAACAGAGGGCCTCAGACCAGGAGAAAGTAGGCAGGTATCACCTTCTGTTTGTACAGCATTTAACAGTTTGCCAAGTCTGATTACAGGCTTTGCTGGTGGGTCCACTGAACTCATTTTGATTTTATTCCTTTTTGGTATTTTTGAACAATAGTAGCCCCAAGATATAAAGGCTATATTACAGAAGTGGAAACTAGGATTCTGCAAGCTTAAGTGACTTTCCCTAGGTAAATGCTAGAAAGGAACGAACTTGTTTTTTTTCCCCACTTTAGACTCTGTATTCTGTTGACTGAACCAACGTTCTTAATTTGGGGTGAGCAGGAAATCATAGACTATAAAACGTATTGATGTTTGTGTGTTTGTGCCTTTACTCCCACCAGAAATAAAGTCACATAAGTTCTTAGTCATAAAATCTTTCTATAATTTTAAGGGGGCTGAACCACACTTTCAGAAGCCATTCAGGGTCCAATTAAAGGTTGAGAGAAATCAGAATAAGAATGCCTGCACTATGGGTTGAACCATATTATCTTTTTATAGGTAAAGAATTATCAAATATTGGCAATTTCATGTGGTTCAACCTAATACTATTGCTATCTGTGTAGACTTCTGAAATTTTGTCAAGGATGAGTTTAACAATCAAAATTTCAAGGAATCTTACCTGAAATCAAAATCTAATAGATGAAGGGAGGGTATAAGGCAATGAGGTGCTTGGTTGTCTCCATTACTGAGGATGT